TTAGTTTTTCCAGGTATTAAGAGAAAGCTTCGACTTGTAGAAGCTGAAAAAGGATGAAACAATGTGTGACACCAAATATGGTTTATCACCATGATTTACCTTTAATTTCATTCTTTAAACATCACCTGCAGGAAGGCAGTAATTGATGGAGAAAGAGAGCTGAATTTATCTGCAATTCACTTTAGTTTTAGTTAGTTAGTTTTGCATTGTTCATTGTAGTTTTTGTTTAGTTTTCGTTTTTTTTTGTAATTGTCATTTTTATTTCAGTTAACTAAATTATTTTTTCATTGCTAGTTTTAGTCTTAGTTTATGTTAACTATAATAACCCTGGTTCTTTTTGTTCTGGGTTTGTTCCCTCATGGTTGATGCACTTATTGTTAGTCGCTCTTTTATTTTGCTTTTTAACTCATTTTTTTACATTGTGCTTTTTGATTTTAAACATTGATTTCTTGTGATTTTGTCTCTTTCGAAATAAAACTACCTGCCTTACCGCCTTCTACAGTATATTTTATAACAGAAGATATTCTTCATAGACAGGCAAACCATGAGCAGGGCGTTTGTTCTCTACCTTTACAATATTTTCCAGGGTTATTTGTATGTTATTTGTTAGATTTTTTAACCTGTGTAAATAAAAAATTGAATCAACAAACAAAAATCCCCATTGGGTCATGGGGTTTTCTGGTCACAAGACGGCTCGACTGTTGGGAAATCACCCCTTTGAAAAATAACATAATAAGATACACAAGAAAAAAAAATTCACCATGATATGTTGAAATGAGACAGCCTGATTGCATTAAACAGATCTTGTTGTTTTTTTCTCCTTAAGGGAGGGAGTAGTTCCTCTTGTTGTGGACTGCAGATGTGAAACCTCTCAGCCAGCTGTGCGCACCATTATACAGACTGGCTTTAATGACTGTAATTACCAGTAACTTTGAGCTACTGGAAAATCTATTTGTCTTAAATCACAGTCATCAATTAACATCTTTCAATGTATTTATGTCAGTAGAAACATGAATGGTCTCATGGACAATCCCCCCCNTGACAGGTCTATGCTAGTAACTGCTCGTTGGTATTTTATGGGAATGTTTAGGTCAAATTAGGTCAATATATACACTATATTAAAGGTTCAGTGTGTAGAATTGACATCTAGCTGTGACGTTTCATTTTGCAGCTGAAAACCCCTCACCTCACACTCCCCTTCCAAACATGAGACAGAACCTGTGGTAGACTTCATTTGTCATAGAAACTCAAAGAGTGTTTAGTTTGTCCAGTCTGGACTGCTGTAAAAAACATGGCGGCCTCCGTAGAAAGGACCCACTCCCGTAAATATAAAGAATTTAACTATAAATGGTCCATTCTAAACACCAACAATTCGAAACACACTAGTAAAAACATCACTAGGGTTTTTTTATATTCAATTTCCAGTGGATCCCTTTCACCTAAATCTTACACACTGAACCTTCACAGTGTATTTGCTTGACCAGGACTGAAGTAGTCAAAAGCAATCAAAGCTAAAAGGTGGATCAACAAATGATAAATCATAGAACATTCTCAATTTATTACTCATGGCAGAAGATAAATCCTTCATCTACAAGGTCAAGGTTTCTCTCCATCAGAAAAAAAAAGCTCTCTCTTGTTTCTCTGTCGATGGTGTAGAAGGGCGATTGCCTTTGTCCTTCAGGTGCTGAAGCACTCAGACCTGGAGAGCAGTGGGATCATGCAGGCTCATGAATTTTAAGTGTGAGCTGGACAAGGGCAGGCTTCAAATTAAAACACTTTTCTTAGCCTCTGCCATGGAATTAACACTGGTATATACATATTTAAGTCTTCGGACCTCTGCAAGAGCATTGAGTGTTAACCTGTGTAATTATATATTCTATGGTTATTTTGGGAATCTGAGTACACTACGTCTTTCAGTCCTGAAAGGCACTTCTCATCACTCGGCAGGCAGCCATCTTAGCAATGCCACCAGACAGTTAATAGAGGAATTTGATTAAAGCCACTTTAAAACTTTGATGACTTGCCCCAGATGTGTTCTTGCTATTGCCATAGTTAATGTTAGCATTAACAGCTATTAATGTACCTATCTGGCACAAACCTTGCAAGTTCAGCATCAGACTACATTAGCTTACTTGCCAAAGGTTGACGTGTTAAATGCCTGAAACTTGTCTCAGAAGGGTCAGCACTTATCTTCAGCAATACAAAACAATCATTGCTTTGACTCAGTTGGTCTACTTTATCCTTCCTGCAATGTCACCAATAAGTACATCCACTTAATGGGTTAAACATTTTCACTAACACATTTTCACTAACTTCTTTCTGCAGGCTTACCAGTTATCAAGAGGAAGAGTTTGGCCTATGATTATCATCCTCTGTCTCATTGCCGCCATTCTCTCTGCTTTTCTGGACAATGTGACCACTATGATGCTTTTCACCCCCGTCACCATAAGGTACAGTGTTGTCACTTGAAATTTCAACTAATTTTTTATCTGTACCTTCTTTTCTACCCTTGCAGTGGTTCATAGGCAGTATGATGTCTTACAAATGAATTATTATCCACCCATCTCTGTCTCCTCCTCATATGCATCTCTGTTCTAAGCCACTGAATTAAATCTGTATGCTGAAACATTATTAAGCTCTTAAAATAACTTTTGCTACCGGATGTTCAAAATCTAGCTGAAATTTTGACTTGACTGAAATTAGACACCTGGTACACAATAATGCAGATGTACTCCAATATCTCACCAGACCAACATGCTGGGTATTCTGTAAAGCCACAGTGTTAAAGGACCAATGCGTTTTATCTTTCAATATCCTTTTTGCATTCCTGTATTTATTTCTCTTACCCGTTTGCAATCTAATCAGGGTTAAAGAGCTTTTCTGACTCTATCTGATTTTACAGGTTGTGTGAGGTGCTTAATCTAGACCCCAGACATGTCCTGATTGCAGAAGTAATCTTCACCAACATTGGAGGGGCTGCCACAGCTGTCGGAGATCCACCAAATGTGATTATTGTATCAAATCAGGACCTGCGCAAAGAAGTAAGCACTTTTACAGCTTTCTACCTAAACTTGCACTAATACTGTAACTTGGTATGATCTGAAACATGAACCAGATGCTTAGTAAACACAACATAATGCTCTTCTCAACTTGAGTGTAACTAACTAATAAGAATGGTCAGCCATCCAAACAGTACAGCACTGACAGGAGAATGGAACATTGAGGAACATGTCACTTGACATGGATTTAGTTTAAAGATTCCCCATTTCCCCCGGGAAATTCAAATAAGGCCCTGTGAAGGCAGTGCTGGGAGGCAAGGCTAAAATGTCTACCTGCTGGCATTTCAATGGTGTGTGAGAGATAGCCGGGTCTGAAACAGCTGTGTCTGAGGACATGGAAGAGACGATGGGGGAGGTCGCTTGATGGTTGACAAAACACTAGGTTGTGTTAAGAGCCATATTCATTATGTAGATTTTTTATAAATTCATGTATTTCATCAAAGAACAGTCATACAACACAGTGTAAAGCTAAAAAAAACACATCTAAGTGTGCGGTTTCACTTCATACCATCAAAGCTGCATGCTAAATTAAAAGGCCCACACACGTCGATGAAAATGCACGATGAAGAACATTTATTCTTTAAATCTGCATGAAGGATCCGACTGTTGTGTTATATAAAGTGTATAATGTGTGGGGCTACTGTTTTGAAAATATCATGTTATGGCAGGTTGTTATGAAGAAGGCATCACTACAATGGCTGTAGTAAATGCATATTTAGAAACAGTGGTGTCAGAAATCATATGAAACAACTCTGCTGAGAGATCGCAGCTGCATCACTTTGATGGTGTGGCATTGGCCCTCTGTCATATAAAGTAACACCCACCCTCTTGAAGGTTGGCAACCTATAAAAAATAATTAATGACAACCTGGAATCCTGACCAATATCAAGGCACCGATGCTTATTCATTTTTTAGTGTTTTACCCTCTAGTGGTAAAAACTAATTACACGTTTAACATTCCAGGAATTAAGGTACAGATCTCTGAATCTACTTTTTATCTGTCAAAGCTTATAAGTTTTGGGACTAAGATCACAATTTCCTGTCACAGCATGTATGAACAAGCTCTGGTAGATGTGAACTGAGATCTCAATATGTTAGTGAAGAACTCTCAGATGGCTGCAACAGTCACTTTTATCACCTTCATCTGTTAGTGTTCGACTTCATGCTATGTGCCACAAAAGGATTTTTTGTTGTTGTTAATTTCTCAGGGAATAATTAATTTGTCTTGATATTAACAAAACAGGCATATTTAGCTGACTGATATTTGAGTGTGTGTGTTTAACTTGGTGCCACTTGACTGAATTTAAGGGGACTGTTGGACCTTGTTGGAGGTGTTTGCTCTACAGAGTGATATTCTAGTTGACAGTGTGATTCTCTCTCTGGTCTCTTTGCTTGAGGTTTATAAAAATGTTAGCTTTGGAACACTGTGCAATAACATAACAGCATGTACCTTTTTTAAACTGGCATTTAAAGTTTTCATAAACATTCACAGCTTACATACATTAGCCTGTGGTATGGGTATACACTGTGGATGAATTTAATCATCTGTGTTTGCTGGATTGTGCATGTGTTATCTCTGATCAGCACAATCTCTCTACATATTTAATTGTAAGTCATGACCCTTATTTATGCTTATGTGCGTGTGATGAATGGAGACGTAGTGGCAGTGAAAGCAATTCATATTTTTGCTGCTGCCATCATAAATCACAGGAATTAAATATGTCAAAACAGTGAGAATAAACTGTAACACCCTCCTATTCCAAGGTTCTCAACTTTGTCCCCATTTTATGTACTGTTGCTTTAGCAGTCTTCTTGGTCAAATGATCAAAACATCGGTATTTAGATTTTCATCTCCTCATCCAGAATTGTTTTTTTAAGCAAAATACAAACTGTTGGTAAAGAGAGTTCCACTCCTGCTAAATGTTTTCTGACATCTGTGTGCAGTAGTACCTTTCTTTATTCACCTGCTGCATGGGGCACACTAGAGACCCTGTCTTCAGGATTGGTGTCTGATTAAAACTTTGAAACCATGTGATCGAATGGCCACAGCTCTTTTCCTGTGGTGGATGACGTACATCACACTTGGTTAAGACCTTTGTTGCCATGATTGAGATCAGCACCCTGGACCCTGTGAATGTCTGTGCCCTATATGGTGGTGATTATTACCTGCGTTTTGACCCAGTTGTAGAACCCTGCTGTAGTTTATCTGAGAAGACAATACTCAGTCCACAGAGTCTACAGTCCACGTTGCCCCGTCCTCACTGACTGCTGAAGTTGCGTTGTTTATTAATTTTTTTATTATTATTGAATAAAATTGTTTGTCCAAATCGCACAAAAGTATTTGCACTTCCCAGGATCACTAAGAATACACTCACCAAGTTGAAGTTGATTTGATGATATACAGAGAGACAGACAGATGTTTGTGGAATTAGTAGATGTTTGTTAAATTGACTCACTTCACACTATCCAATTGTTCATCTCTATCACCTGAAACCCATTTAGTGATAACTTGTCCTCTCACGTACAGATTGTGACAAAAAAGATGGCAGGAAACAGGGTTAGGGCCATTTTACTGTTTTAATCAGAGCAGCCTGTTGCTTTCTGAAAAGGACAATGACTTGTAGGCTCGTCTTGTGACCTTCACTCTTCTTACACACAGGGGGGCATAATGTTACATCACTAGAGGACATGACATTTTCCTAGCTGCTTGATGTGGCATCTGTTCACCGCGAATGACATTATAGTCTTTGCGTGTGCAGCAGAATGTTGTCTTCCCAGTGTAAAGTAGCTCCTACCACACCAGGCTCCCACAGCCCACTGTCCAGTTTGTCTTGGCTCCATTTCCCAGGTGACAGCACCACAGGGACTCGGCGGAAGCAGCGGGCTTATTCTGTCATGTCTGCCCCCGATAAGGACAGCTTGTATGTACATGCATGGTTTGTTTGTCTGTTTGCATGCTCACTTGTTTGTGTCGAGGGGATTTTTGGGGGAGAACTCCAGAGATAGAAACAATGGCACAGCTGTGAAGTATGTGTTTAGGTAATTCTGCCACTCATCAGTGTCTTTGTTTTTGATTTGTCACTGAGCAAAGTAGCATGGTGCATAAAAACCTCCTTTTGGATTTATTGAGGGACTCTGCCAAATAGAACTCCTACAGTCAGGCAGAGCAGTCGATGCCATTGGCTGGGAAATACATACACAGCAGCTGAAAACAGAAATCCAACAGGCAGCAAACACAAAAACCTCAACTCTTTAGCTCTCAGCTTTGCTCTCTTGTGTCCCTCTGTTACAGATCATTGTCGGACATAAACAGAGAAACAAGGCATTTAATTTTTTCTCTGATTCCAGTTTGTAACTAAACATGAGACTTACACAGGAATTTCAAGGATTTTCATTTACAGCAGGTTTGCAGCAGCAGCTGGCCTCAACCCACACGAAAGACGGGTCACAGCAGAATGAGAGGGCAGGTCTCTATGGAGGCATGAATAAAGGAATAGTCTGACTTATACTGTGTGAGTGAGGCAGGGAGGTGACATACTAACATAATTAGATAGTGTGACATGAGGGGAAGCGTTGAGTTAAATAATTATTGATAATTACTATAATTGGTTGGATGTTGAAGATGTGGCAGACCTCCCAGGATTCCTCACATCAAACTTCATACTTGATACTGGATACTAATATGTAATATTTCAAATAATTCAGCTCATCATGTGTGACAACCTCTATCTGTGTCATGTGCTGATTTATCCTGCACAGTGTGTCCATATACCCACCCTCCTCTCCCTTTACATCAGACTTCTGTTGCAATTTTAAATTGCAAATCCTGCAGAGGTCACTATTAACCACTTTTGTCACTCAGTATCTGTTTAATATCAGTTTATTTTCTTTAATCACTCACAGCTACTAAGCGGCTTTAGACCAAATGATTGTCATTCAGAAATTATAGGTCCTGAATATGATGTCATACCAATAATGGCTCTGGTAAAATTGTGTTCTTTGTCAAGGATATGCTGTCAATTTAGAGGACAATGTCAACCAGGGGCTGATATTTCTTACTAATTTAGGAAGAGAGATTTATGCCAAACTAGAGCAATGTGGAAAAGGGGAACCATCATCACCACTCTTTTGTGTTGTTCTCTAATGTATAGACTTTCATTCAGTAATTAGTTTCTTTGAACTATGTGAATATAATTCTCGGTGAATTCTATTTTTTTTACACTTTGTCAGTGCTATATATAGAACTGTTTGAGAAGGACTCACTAATGACAGAACATTCCAAACAGGCAGGTTTAGAAGGGACACTAACACATAAATCATTGAATCCACCATATTTTTAAGAAGTAAAAACAGCACTATAATTCTATTTCTATAATTTCATTTGTATAGCACCAATTGAAGCATGATGAAGGCTGCTCAATGCATCATAGGAGTCACCCCAGCAGTCTAGGCCAATAGCAGAATAACTGAGGGATGGTTCAGAATTTTAAGCCTTGAGTAACATTGTATTCAATCATTGACCAAAACTGATGTCTTAGCACAAATATTTTGTATGAAACAGATTTTGGATTTGTCTTTGCTTTTAAGACTGTTTATTATTGTGTCTCTTTAAGGGGATCGATTTTGCCAGTTTCACAGGCTACATGTTCCTCGGGATATGTCTCGTCCTTTTCACCTCATTTCCTTTCCTGCGGATGCTCTACTGGAACAAAAAACTTTACAACAAAGAGTCAATTGAAATAGTTGGTGAGTTCAAATGCTTTTTTAAATGTGTTTTTTTCCTTTTCTACACAGTTGATGATTGTTTGAATTGATGATGGATGCTATCAGACAATAAATGTATCTTGTTGTCCTGGAGCTGAAATCTTAATTGTTGTAAAGCTGCAGATGCAGCAGAATCTTTTTTCTTTTTTTTTTTTTAAATGATTTTCACTGTACTGACCATTAACACCCTAAGAAAATCTTCCCACACTGAAGCCTCTCACTTTTTAAAGTGATGCATTGACCTCATAGAAATGTAATTAACTCTGCGTTATAGCCTCAGACCTCTAACTCCTACATATGATATATCATGCCATCTGAATTAGAGACTATGCCCCCCCGCCTCAGGTAATTCCCAGTGTTCAATTTACATTGTCCTTATAGAATGATTTTATCTAATGTTTAGGGTGACCAGATTAATTGCTACTCTGAGCAAGTGTAAGTTCAAGTTTGATCTCAGTAAATGGTAACAAATTAAAGTAGTCATGGTGATGGCCCAATTTAAACCATATTAACTGGGGGGGGCTTTCACAGCTCAGCTCGCACAAGTGCAGAGAGTCACCAATTGTGCCAGACACCACATAGCTCATCTCAGGAAACTCCTGTTTGCTTTGACCAGTTGGCACAGAACACTCATATTTACTTGATCAGACAGCTGCCTAGTTTCACTGTTACTGACAAAATAAAATAACTTTACAGAGAATTAATGAAGAATAAAAGGTTGTCTTTATTTCTGACACTAGCTGTGTCCTCCATCAATTCTTTGTCTGTGTTGTGTTATCTTTGTATATGAGACCCTGTGGATGTGGATAAAGGCAGAAATAATAAAACATGGATATTTATGACTTATTAACAATTCTTCCGCAGTCAACTCTTATCAGTGTTTACCTCTATACTGCCCCCGTCCGAACCCACCACCTTGGAAGAACCTCAGCCGGGTAAAATTAATACACAGACCATTTGTTGTTGCACTGCTCCCATTCCAGGAGCGAGGAAGACGCACTGAGCTGCAGGACAGACTGAAGGAAGCCACAGCCTATCACTGTGGTGACTGTTCAATAGACTGTCTGAATATGCCACCCTGTCGAGTTACCGCATCTCCTGCCAACCTGGCCCAGAGAGCAACAAAATCTGCACAAAGCCCCCGTCATAATTGAACTGATTTGCTTACAGGAATGTTTTTTTCCTGTGCCAGTTAGATTCTATTAGGGTCACCTAGCAACCTCACTGAAAAGAGAGGGGGACCTACTGGTATCGACACAGGTGTCCAGCTCCTTCAGGGTCTATCTCTGCTTCAGCATTGCCTGCTCCTCAGCTGGTCAATGTGCCCATCGCCTGGATGCATTAGTCCCTCTATGGGAGCTCACAGCATATTGACCCAAAACATCTTAATATCCTCTCAGTCATCCTCAGCTGTAGCTATTAGCATCCAAATCCCTCACTATAAACAGGCTCCGTACTGCTACACAGCTTCACCACCGCAATGACCATGTAGTCCATGCACAACACAAGTGGCTAACTCTCCTGCTCTCTGCTTCCTGTTCCTACAGAACTCAAGCATGAGATCCTGGTTTGGAGGCAGACGGCTCAGCGCATTAACCCCGCCAGCCGAGAGGAGACAGCTGTGAAATGCCTCCTGATGCAAAAAGTCCTTAACCTGGAAAATCTTCTCCGCAAGATGATGAAAACCTTCCAAAGGTCGAAAGAAAATCACTGAAAGCACAAAACATATCTTAATGCTTTCATCACCCCATAAAACATGTTTCTTTATTATAGCTTTTACTGAATGTGTTTCTAATGGTTTTTACACGTGACAAAAGAGATAGTTTCTGACACATCTTCGGATGCATAAACTTGGACACATCATCAGTGTTGTAGTTTGGAGTCACCCTGAACCAGGTGACCCAATGATATGATAGATGCATATTGTGTAGAAAACATAATTCAAAATGTATTATATTGTTGATGTACTTTGAAATGAAACACATAATGCTTGTCCAACTTTATTTTAGCCATTAATACAATTTGACAATAATACAATGCAATTCTCTATGATGTACCTAACATTTTAAGCTGTTGACAGAGTGATTAGTCTTTAATTGAATGTTTTATTTTGTCTAATAACATTTGATAGAATTAATTAAATTAATATGGGATTGAAATGTCGCTCTTTCTGAACAGACAAATTTCTCAGGAGGATAAGAACTGGGAGCAAAACATTCAGGAATTGCAAAAGAAGGTAAGCTACAGTACATCATCTCAGACACACTCCTCATCCACTGTGGTGCACTGATGTTATCTCAGTAATGAAGTTGGCCCAGTCTTTCTGAGTTCACTTTAGACAAATGCTGTCAGTTTCATGATAAAATCTGCTTTTTTCCTCCCCATTCATAAAGAATATGTTTTTTTCCTCCACAGCACAGAATAACTGACAAAGTTCTCCTGGTGAAGTGCGTGTCCGTCCTTGGCGTAGTGATTTTCATGTTCTTTCTCAACTCCTTTGTTCCGAGCATTCATCTGGAGCTTGGTAAGTGCCACACCATCTCATTACAGAGCTGCTTTAACAGGCTGGTTGTATGTTCTGTCATGTAATTATGAAACACAGCTTCCTCTGTCCTTGCATTTGAAATGAGCCCAAATAATGGGCTGACTAGAAAGTGCACCCAACAAATTACATGGATACTGAGCTGCATTTAAAACCGATCAAATTATGTCTATTCATCTGCTGCTAGCTCAAACCTGCGTGGATGAATAATGTTCCAGTGAAACTGCAGGAGGCACTTGAATACAATATGTGACCTAAATTTCTGAAGAGTTTTTTTGTCAAAGATCAGCAGCAATAATACTAAATTATAGACATTTGACCACATCAGCTAGCAACAACCAGGTTTCCAAGCACCTCACACTGGCAGCCAGATCAGACGTTTAGACGTCAATTATTTACTTTGCCTGTTTTCATTGAAAGATCTTTTAAAACCCACTGTACATCACCTACCCAGTAACAAAAGGCAGACAGACTAAATTAAAGTAAGAGTAAAACATACTGTGTTTCCCTGGATGGACACAGACAGAAATTCCAAATTAATACTTGCGTTGCTTTATTTCTGCTGAATGTGTTCATTATAAACTGTATGCGAACATGTTCTGTTGCCATATTGGTAAAAGGTGATTATATATTAGTGGTATGTTTACAGCTTGTTTCTGCTGCTGACAGGTGATAGGAAATCAGTCATTGTATGCTTTACATCCTGCAAACCGCAGATTATAGCAGTAACAGTAAAAATAATAATAATAATACTTTTACTTTTCTATAACACTAAACGCTCAAGAATACTCAAGAATAAAACAACAGAACAAATGAGACAAAAAAATTTGATAATCTAAAATAAGATATTGAAAACAAGCAATGTCTGTAAAAAAATGTTAAAACTCAGGAACTAAAAGGCTTTCCCATTAAAAATATGTTTTAAACAATGATTTAAATACAGGTAAAGTGTTGGCAAGTCTAATCTCCTCAGGCAATGAGTTTCAGATCCTCGGGGCCTAGAGGCTTGGTCAGCCTTAGTGACGAGCCTAGACTTAGGATTTGGGACAATATTCCGTGTATCAACATGTATAATTCACAGCAAACATCTGTACAGGCTTGTTTTTTTACAATATATGGTTGTAGCAATGGATTTAAAATGGTTTTACTTTTGTCACAAATTAATGGTCCGTCAGTACAATAACAAATCTACTGTATTATCTAAATGTTTCAGTAAGGAGCATTGTGAAGCTGCAGCACACACACAAGTTGAAATCGTATCAAAGCAAAAAATTTGATTAAAGATCTGTTCACTGCACTATTTCCTGGAGTAACCTTTCAATGTATCGGAGATCTTCGCCACGCTCAAATTAGGATCTTTTGACAGATTTTTTTTCCATTAGCTGATGCAACACGTTTTCTCCAGGAAATAAACAAAAGGTTCTCAGTCTATGTTCTTGCATATTTCAGACATATTAGAAAAACAGGTCATGTTGTTTATGCTGAGGTCATATCTTGTCTGTCTGATGCCTCAGACTGTGATGTCTGTGATAAATTGAATGATGAATTCAGCAGATGACCTTGACAGCAACTCATTAATGCTAACCCTATCCCTAAATGAAGATGGCTGTCTTCATCCACATCGTATCTTCTCTCCCCTCGCTGCTGAGGCCACTCATTCACCAAACATGCTCGGTTAATTACAGGTGATGCTCGGGTTACCTCTGGGCGCAGTTATTAAATGGGAATGACCCCACAGCGGTGTGTTTGCTTTCTCTGTGCAAGGACAGGCATCTGTCCAAACAAGGCTCTCATTAATGCATGCAGGTCACAGTCAGGGCTGACTTACTGCTACAAGCCCACTCTATTTATTCACACGGGTTTCTAAACTAGAACCTCATTAAAATGTAATTAACTTCACACAGTAACATTTAATCTAAGCCTGATTTTTACCCGGTCATTTGATCTCCATTGATCCTCCAGCAGAAATCAGGAAAGTGATGCAGTGAAACTGGTCGAAAAATTCTAAAAACCGGCGTATATTGTAAAAATGGATAATAAATTGTCAAACACTTTCAGCAGTTTTAGCTATATTATTTATTATTTTACAGATTATTTCTGCAGAGACTTCACAGTCCCTTATCTAATCAAAAGTTTATGAGTCAACACAATATTCTGTCAGAGCATAAATCTCTATCTATTGACTTTAGCCGTGTGTTCATTTTCTTCGTTCATTCTTTTAACTGGAGAGCTCTCTAGGTTTGTTATCTGCTGCCTGCGTCTGGCCCTGTTAACGAGGCAGCATCAGACAAACCTATGTGGTGAGGAAATCAAAAACTAGAAAAAAAACGATTCGTCACAATTCTACCACCGAATGACAACTCCTGTGGAATAGATTCTTTTGTGTTTGTTTTTTTGGAGTTATCGACTCAGAATCTCCTTGCGTTTGTTTGTGTATGTGGATTTAGAAATCCACATACACAAACATTTTCTGTCAGTATTCTTTTTTATTAAACAAAGACTAAAATACTAATAATACAAATGGTACATATGACAATTTGTTAAGAATTCTTCCCTTTTTTCAAAATATATTCAATGCTGTGTGCCTTTACCCAAAGCTATAGAGCTAACAGTAAACAAAGAATGACTGTGCACCTTACTGAATCAGAAATGCATCATGGATGTAGGACATAAATGGCCCTTCTGAGTCAATCGTTGCCCCTCTTTGGTCCCTAATTTAGAAAAATCCCAGATCCACTACTGCTTTGGTTCCTGTCAGTGTTTATTCCTATTGTTTGAGTTTTTTGACCATACCACTTCTACCAAATATTTTCGATGTATTTCTACCATATTCGTAAATCAAATTAAGTTGAATTTCATTTTCACTGATTGTTATTATTCTCTTTTAACTTCTCAATTTGTTATATTCCTTGCTTACAATCTCTGCCCAGTCTCTCACTGTACATTAGTTCATTCACATTCATACATTTCTAGAAAGATCTGGCCGAGGTATACTCCAATATTGGAGAACCAATGTTCTTGTTAAGAGCATTTTGAACCCAACTTTGTCTGTCATGACCAGAAACAACTCAGCAGGCCCTCAACATTCTGTTGTTCTGTCTGATTCTTGATTTTTCATATCACTCGCTCTGACTCCATTCTTCCCTCTGCTTCTCTCTTTTCCTGCCCTTCCATTGCTCTTCTTTCTTCACTGTTCCCATCATTTGTGAAATCATTTCCCTCATGGCCTAAGCCAAGGCAATTACTGGTGCTCATCTGTTTAATCAGTTTTTCTCCAAGTGGTTGCACATTCTTCCCTCTTTCTGAAACCCTTTTAAATATCAGCAGGCTGGTGCCAGCTTTTGTCCTCCAGATATTGATGGTGATTGTTTAATCAAACCCACCAAGGAAATCCAAATATAAATAACAACCATACTGTTGTGTATGTAATTTCTATTCATGTTAACAGAATTCTTCAAAATACTGTACGTACATAGGCTGGAGTCCTCCTGCAGTAGGCACAGGTTGGGTTCCGACCCACTCTTTTGCTGCGTGTCTTTCCCCATCCTCTTTCTCCATTTTACCCTTATGCTGTATGGTCAAATAAAGGTATAACTGTCTGAGAAATACTTTCATTTTATTTTAAATTTTTTAAACATTTAATCACTTGTGTGAAGTACTGATGATTGAGTGTAGAACATCAGTAGAGGATAGCAGAACTTTGATGTATAGACACAGTGGTGACACCTGTAACATATATGCCCTAGCCGTTCCAATTCCTCTCCTTTGGCCCTACCCCTAGATATATAGTGCCCTTCGCTAATAAAGGTTTCTATTCATTTAGAAAGTTGTGATTAAATACAAATTAAAATGAACACAGAGTAGTGGTGGTCCATTTAAATTAATGAATTAAAGCCTTTTCATTATAGCAAAAGTCTCATAGTATGCTCATGTGTGTTGTGGGGTTATTGATGTGTCCTGGGTCAAAATAATGAGTAATATTCTATATAGATGTATTATATTTTCTAATTTAAATAAATCTTACTTAAACATTTTTAAGTGTTGGTTTGACCATATATAGCCAAGTCATTATCTAATTAAGCATAATGACCAACATTTGCAGTATAAACACATACATGGTAATTGGTTACTGCATAGACCTGACCCACTGTCCAAACCTAAATCGATGCCAGTGTTATAAATCTATGAAAATCTGATATAATCAGTTCAATGTCAACTAGGTGAGTTCATGAAATATGTTACGTGTGTGTGAAGGTAGATGTCACAAGGAGTGTTCTCTCTCTCAGGTTGGATTGCGATCCTGGGCTCACTGTGGCTTTTGGTTCTGGCTGACATCCAGGATTTCGAGATCATCTTGCACCGGGTGGAGTGGGCCACACTACTCTTCTTTGCTGGCCTCTTTGTTTTAATGGAGGTATTTACAGTAATATTTTTAGCATTATGATAAAAATCTCAACCTCATGATAGTGAAAACTACAATGGCATGCCATATAATCTAATTATAGATAGGGGTAGATAGGGGTAGATGTAGGGTTAGCGACACCTCTTTTCACAAAAACACTACAGGAGAACAGTATCAGTGCTTGGATCTAATGACACTGGATAATGACAGAAACTCCAACAGTGTCTTACAATGTGAAAAGCATCTATGTCTTTATGCATGAATCCCCAAGTAAAAGGAAGAAAAGAAAGTTTAATAGCAGCACAAACTGCTGTGTTGGTTTGGCCCTATAGCAAAACAATTTGTTTATACATTAAACAGTGTCATAAAGCAGTACCAATAAGAAATGTCAATTTTCTGTGTCAATAATTATAAAAAGCATATATTTTGTCTTATTATTATGTCTTTGTCTATTTGTCTTTTAATAGCTTTTCTTCCCTTTGTTTAATCCCACTTATATCGAATGGTCGTCACATTTGTTTTAATGAATCCTCATTTTTCAGGCTTTAGCCCAGCTGCAGCTTATCGACTATATTGGCGAACAGACAGCGCTGCTTATAAAAGTGAGTTTATTCCTTTGTTTCTCAACTTAACAGCCATTTTCAGGGCTCAGCGTGACTGGTGTAATTGATTTCATGCATATAGATCCTTCTGCTCAGCACAGCTCTGAATTCAATTATTTTTGTTTACTTCTGATACCTGTCAGCGGCCGAAAGAGGTCTGGGGTCTTTCTCACCCACATTCTTGCCAGTGTGTATTGTGAGCAAGTAGAGAATTGCGCCAGTAATAGATACGTCAGCTTGTGTTTACACTGTTGTGCTGTATAAGTTTAATAATCACACATGACAGGTGGCATGCTATTCATGCTTGCTGACCTGCTCAGCATCCCCAAACCATGGATAACATGCTGACGTGAGGAGCATGGCCTTTCTCTCTTGATGCATGTAGAGGACAGGTGAAAGGATTAGATATTGTCTCCATTAACTGGCCCATGCATATCTAAGAGAAAACAATCAAGGGGGTTCAAACAACATCTTTGTCACATGGGGGGAATTGGCCTTGCTGTGTGCGTACGCCCCAGCTCAGAGATAAAACTCCCAGACGCCACCACCCATGGTCGTGTCACACCCTCAGACAGCTTCATCGTCCCAGCGTCTGCTCGCCAAAGACAGGTTCATTGTCATAGACTTATTCAGTGATGGGTTGAGGTTGGCATGTGCATCTGAGTGAAGATGAAAGTTGCAGTTATCTGTCGTTTTTTATTATCTCTCCACTCAGGCAGTGCCAGAAGACCAGCGCTTGGCCATAGCCATTATCCTGGTGATGTGGGTCTCGGCTCTGGCTTCTTCACTCATTGACAACATTCCCTTCACTGCCACCATGGTGAGAAGCATCAGCGTGATGTTTTAATGTCACACTGCAGTATTTCCTGGTGAAATCACACACAAACACCGTGCAATCAATCTGACCTGTCCATACGTAAATGGAGTGATAGATATATGTCAGGTATTGTCAGCTATCATTGAAGTGACTTTTGGGTACATGCATGAAGTATAATAAATCTGCATTTGTTCATGTTGTATATTGGAAAAATTAACCTTAGAGGGTATAGCCTGATTTCATTGTCTTTCCTGTACAAATGCCAATGAATAAAGATGGGTGGTATCTTGTTGTTCTAGACACTGCACTTCAGCTCAAGTCAACTTCTTCCATTATCCAACTTGTTCAATCAAACTTAAACAAGGAAATCTAGAGACGGAAGATTTGGGTTGTGAGATGTGTTGCAGCGGTCAATTTAAGGAGAGCTAAACTAAATAACACATAAATAACAAATAGCCTAAATAATGAATATATTAACCAATTTACCCAATTTTCCCACAAATTGTCAATGGGTGCATTGACTGGAATACAGTGATTCATATATGTTGGATGGGTTTCATTTCTTCCTATATTTAAAGTACCAGACAGGAACTAATTTATAGACTTAGAAGTGAACATTACAAAGTTGTAGCTTTGTTAAAGAAATACTTATCTTGATGCATTACTAAATTACACTCTGACTTTTCTGCCTTGACATAATATGTGATTTCCAGTATAGTTTGTTATATGTTTATTTCTCCTGGTTGTACTATTATATATTAGCTATTCTCATGTTTTAAGTGCTATGGAAATTCATTTTTTTCCAATAGACAGCCAAGTAGTACATATAATTTTCAAACTGAAATCTGGGATCACTGCCCCAATTTGTTGAATTAGTTACAAATAAGAAGCAGAGGAAACAGTGTTGGTCCAAATTCAAATACCATGCTCATTTAAATTTAGTATCTAAGTATCAGAGCAACTGCCACCTCACTCCTTTGTCTGTTTGGCTGAAAATGAAAAGACTCACAGAAATCAATGTTTCACTGAGGCCCCCGCCAGTGTGCTCAATTAAAATGACAGAGAAAAGGAAGAGATGTTATCCTACTGACAGGATGAGACGCTGCTAGCGAGAATGAAACCATCAGATCTTTGACTCGTCAGCTCTCTACAACTGTCTCCAGTGGTTTTGAAGACGTTCTTTCCTCTGCTAGTTTTTCACTTTCCAGTCCCCTGCAAATGTTGTTCAACTTGAAAAGAGAGGACCTCAAACCTGTGCATGTACCGATTGTCACAACAGACTGAAGCTTAGAAAAAAATGTTTTCCCCATTCTGACAAGAAAAAATAATGTAAAAATACTCAATTTAGAACTTCTTTCATTTTTAAACATATACTTTTAAATTGTGATAAATATTGCTTATTCACTTTGTTGACCAGAGTTAAACAAGGTATTACCACTCATGTCTGTATTGCTATATTAAGCTAAAGTTAGACTCATGAGTCATGACATAATGTGTTTGACAAATTTTATCCTTGTTTACAGCAAGGTTAGCTGTTGTTCCTTTGTTTCAGTTTTTATGCTAAGCTAATGATGCTGGATTTTGCTTATTATTTGCTATAAAGACAAGAGTGGTGTCAATCATCTTGTCTATGGTCAAGAAAGTGAATAAACAATTTTCTTTCTTCTGTCTTTGTGCTAAACTATGTTAACCATATTTAGCAGAAGCATCAACTTCATCTCTTGAATCCTTGAGCACAAACAAGTCTGTGATAATCAGCCATGAAACTGCGAATTTGTCGTTAGGATTCAGTATTAGTTTTTTATTTGATATTGATATAAAGGGTTTGCTTTCCCAGACATTTTGATTGAAACAAGGCTTAAGTGTATTAAACGATAACTTTCCAATTTGTCTTTACTTACAGATTCCAGTGCTCATCAACTTGAGTCAGGATGCAGATGTGAACCTGCCAGTAAAACCTCTCATCTATGCTTTGGCAATGGGAGCCTGTCTTGGGGGTAAGCCTCTCATTTTATCTTTTTCATGTAAAAAAGTAAAAAGTACTACAATAGAGTATGAGACAGTTTTGTTTTGGGCTAAACACACAAAAACCTCCTCGAGTTCAGACACCAGGGACCTAATATTTAATCCCTTTTTGAAGGGTGTGCATCTTTATGGATGGCGTCTGCCATTCTTAGGTCTCGACCTTAATGACTATATTCTTATTCATAAATTTTTTGCCATATATTTTGTGAAGCACTTTGTAGCCTTGTTTAGATAAGTGCTATACAGATAAAGTTATTATTATTATTAAATGCTCCAGGTGACAGCCACACTGACAGCTGTGTCAGTCTCTGGGGAGGTCAGGCTATGCTTTTTGTGAGAGCAGCCCAAGGCCCTCAAAGCTGGCCTCATTCAGGCGCTACGACACACCAGCAACCAGCCCTCCAGTACAATGCAGCAAGGAGAGAGAGAGAGAGCTGTCTCAGTGTTTCAGTTTAATCATCTGCACTGTGACAGGTCCTTATCGATCTGCAGTATAATGTTGCCACTGTCCAGCTCCATCCCCACACTGACACCTTTTGAGATGTGAGCGTTATCGAACGGTAGGGGGGATGCAGACCCTGACTGTCAAAATGTTGCCCACAGTAGATGAAAATAGTAAAACTTTATAGATTAAGGCAGAAAATACACAGAGAATGCTGAAAGATGATCATGATTGTCAGTATTATTATAATATTATGCTTCTGCCCTTGTTAAATGATGTGCTTTATGTGATGCTGTTCTTAAATCATTTTGTCCTGCCTGTTTAGGAAATGGCACATTAATAGGAGCATCAGCCAACGTTGTGTGCGCAGGAATTGCTGAGCAACACGGCTACGGCTTCTCTTTTGTGGAGTTCTTCAGGTGAGCCCTCTCTTCTATTACAGCATTTACACAACACATTATGCAATCTCAAGTTAGAAATAGGTCATAAACACCATATTTCAAGATGTGGCTCGCAAAATTTGATTGATAATTTATCCTATTGGGTAATGTCAGACTTGAACGTCAGACAAGTGCATTACTGTGGATCCTGTAGAATAGGCTATTTTGCCCAAAGTGGTACTTACACATTAATACCAGTCATATGTTACAACGGGAGATGCCAACAATGTGAACTGATTTGCCTCAGAATATTTATAAAACAGCCTCAAGAATCCCTGTTCAGGGCTTGTATTTATCAAGTGTGTCAGAGTAGGAAGTCACTGGCTAGTGTTGCGTTTTGGTTGTACTCTCAGGATTAGAAGTAAGGGGGTCTTATCTAGGTCATCATTATTGTGTATTTATTTATCTGCAATTATTTCAAATAACGTTGGCGTATGAGAGATGTATTTACATTCATTCAGTACATTTCCCAAGATTATGTAGCATAGGAACAATATGTTTCCTTGCATGTCGCAAACATAAAAAGCGTGTAGTTGTAGTAGTAGTGTAGTAGTATTTGTAGGTGTTGTCATTTTCTGCACATTGAATTTTACCATTGTTAAATATTTCAGCACATAATCATAAATTCTATATTGCAGCTCTCAGTAAGTTGAATTGTGTTTGTGTACACGTATTATTTCACAAGTTGCTCTGCTTGTGGAGGGGCAGTGAGAGAATTCTGGTCACCGCCACATTTAGTTTATTTGTCGAAGCAGAACTAAGATTTTCCCACCTGACCTTGCTTGGGATATATACAGCAGTGTACTCTTCTGTCAGTTAAATAACTCTAGGAAACAACCTGGCAGACATTGGATGATGTCATCTGTTCTGGGCAGTAATTCTAGTTTGTGTCCTCTCCACTGACACTGTAAGGGCACTGAAGAAGTTTTACTTTATGCGGCAAAACTAAAACTGCAGAAATATGTGTTCATGGTTTACAGTGTGGTAGACTTAATCAAAAACATTCAAACTTTTTTGTGATTGGTTTACTTGATACTGAGTGAAAGGCTGGATTGGATTTGAGGACTCTCTGGTGTCTAAAAACTGAGTGAATGACAAAAATACTCCATCATATTTCAAGCATAGTGGTAATTAGGCTGCCTCCCAGATTGCCACCTGCTCACCAATAATCTTAATTCTGGTGACGCAACAGCCAGATATACTTTGAAATTTGCTTTGTTTGAGAAGTGGATACGGTCAATGGTATTGAAAGAAGGTTGAATATGATTCTCATTAGACCTGATATGTAATCACTTGGATGTATCATATCATTTATAATACACTGGGCTACTTAAAGTATGCACTAGCAAAGAGGTAGTTAAAAGAGGTGTTGTCCCTTAGTTGCAAGTCACTGGATAAAATGATCTGCCAAATGAATAAATGTCAATGTAAACTATTAATAAAAATGAGCGTATAGTGATTACTTGTGGAGAAATTGTGGCTGGTTATGGAAAAGAATAACAGTAGGTGACATTTGGCATTAAGAACAGAAATATCACAATTACCTGTTTATTGTTTGTTTCTTGTTACCTTCTCATTCTGCTGTGAACAGCCACTAAATGTCAATGAAATAATTAGCGGTGAATGTCATCTGAATTATTTTATGTTGACAAATGTGTTGTTGCACTCGAAAGACTCAGGATTGTCCATCTGCTTAAAAAACAGTTGCGTCCTGTCAATTCTGCTCTCACACACACACACTGTTCTAGTGTGTTGACAGTTATTGGATAGATGCATTACTTTTAGCGAAAGCATTGTCTGTAATTGGCTGTCTCTGGTGAGGGTCACAGTTGTTCAGAGAAAAGGGTAAGGGTGAAAGAAGAGTTTGTATGTGACTCCAGGCAGCTGGGACTGACGAGTGCTGTAACAAGTGATTAAATCCAGGACCCAGATCAGTCCACAATTCCCTTTTGACAGACCATCACAAATGAAAATAAGAGCCCCTGAATAGCTCAGCAATAAGTTGGTATCATCTCTCTTTCTTCTGTCATGCCTCTAAGTCATGATCATTCTCTTCTACTCAGACAATTAACCTGGGGATCATGGTAAAAGTACTTTCTATATAGTTTATAAGGCATTGTCCACCTCCAGGGTATGATTCATTGCTATTGTTTGCATGTTCAGTTTGAAAAACAGCCACTGTAACTACTTCTACCACTCAGACGGAGTTCTAAAAACTCTGGAAAGGCCTCTGTCAGAGTTGAGTGGAGCAGCAAACTCCAGCTTTATCAAATAAGAATGACACAAACGCACACACACACACACACACAC